GTCTAGACGCGGATCTTTCAGAAAATAAACCCTTTCCCGAAAGATCCCTTATCCCTCATTTTAAGAGGGATAAGGGATCTTTCGGAAAAGGCTTTATTTTCCGAAAGATCCGTGTCTAGACTGGTGCTTTTTTCCGGCAAAATTCCGAGCTCATTTTACGAAAAAGGGATGCAGTCTAGACACAGCCCCACAGTCTTTGTAGCACTGCAGCCTCTCTCCTATTCTCTCCCACATTTTGAGTCTTCCGTCAGTATTTAATTCTCTTCCCACACTTTGTGACAAGGGTACATTTGTTTACCATGAACATCCTACACAAGATTATTCTATAATATAGGCAGTAGCCAGATTTTCATCTGCTTATGCCTATGAATTTTTCTGATACACTGAAAATACAACTCTCTTTTATCCACTGTCAAAAAGTGCACTCCAAAATGCTGTACAGAAAAACTACAGATACCAAGTTAAAACAAAAATTCTAGCAGGTAGAGGGAGGATTGGGGAAACCCTGCAGGCAGTGTGTCCGTGCTCTGTGGTTCCCCAGGGGGTTTCTCTCCCCAGCACAGAGCACTGCCCCAGAGCATGCCACGTGTCCTGTACCTGCCCACTCCAGCCCTAGAAAAACTGGAGACTCACCTCTCTACCTTCAGCTGCCAAGGTTCTCCCCCACCCACAGCAGGGAGCCCACACAGGCACTCCAGCTCCGTGCCCTCAGTTGGAGCACCAGCACCATTTCCCTACTAGTGGGTGAAGAGAGAAAAAATATTTTTGAAAAATAAATAGAAAGATTAAGTTCAGAGCAAAGCAAATCTATTTCAATTAGCAGGAGCTATGAAGAAGTATCATCTTGTGGCAAGACTATACGATGGGACAAAAATAGGCTGGTGCTGAGCATACATATTGAACAGTGGGATAAGCAAACACTTATATCGTCTACCTGGTAAAGCAGAGACAAAACCAGGGAGAGTTTTAGGCTTGGATCCTGCACCAATGTTGTCAATGGATGCTTTGTCACAGACTTCATTATCAGGCAGTTAAAAAAAAAGGCAATTTTGAGCTAAACCCTAAGGAGCTAGTGTACTTGTTTAAGGACAGGTGTGGACTGGCCACATCTTAATATTATTAAAAATAAATTTAATCCAACTCTGATTCCAAAATCTCCAAGCAATTAAATAAACATTAAAACACAGCAGGATTCTACAGGACGACTACAGGGGGGGGGAAACCCAAAGCAAACCTAAGATTTTAATTGTACCAATTGTTCTTCCCTCCTCTCATCTCCCTTATGTTCTTTGGAAGGAAGGGACCCTGTTGCATGCTCCTAGTCCTTTGGGTCGTATAATAAACAATGACAGCTCAAGTGAGAAAGGAGGAATGACATATTGGACCTGCAGGAATTTGAAGAGTTTGCAGGAAGCCAAAGGGAGAGGTTATGATCATGGCAAGAGGGGAGACAGCATTTTAGCCAGGAAGTTAAGGCAGTGGAATACATGAGCAACACTGCAAAGACAGCAACAATCAGTTTTTTCCAAGGAGTTGAAGGAGGAGAATATTGTATATTGCCACACACACAGCACAGAACCATGGAATCAAAGAATAATATTAGCCTGTAACTTTAAAAACCTGTAACACTTTAGAGACTTACAAAAATATATAGAATAATAAGCTTTCATGGATAAAACCCATTTCATCAGATGAGCTGGAGTGGAAATAACAGATTTTGTTGTTTGTTATTCTGTATTTCCATTCCAACTCATTTGATGAAGTGGGTCTTACCAAAAAAGTTCATGATCCTATATATTTAGTCAGTCTCTAAAGTGCCTCAGGACTGATTATCCTCAAGAGGTCATCAAGAACCAGAACCCTGCACTCATGGCAGGACCAATACCATCTATACCATCCCTGATAGAGATGGTCTAACCTGCTCTTAAAAATCTACAATGATGGAGATTCCACTACCTCCATAGGTGATTTATTCCAGCGCTTAACCAACTTGACACTTAGAATGTTTTTTCTAACGTCCAAGCAAAACCTCCCTTTCTGTAATGTAAGCCCATTGCTGCTTATGCTATCACCAGAGGTTAAGGAGAATAATTTTTCTCTCTCCTCCCTGAAACAAACTTTTTGTTACTTGAAAGCTGTGATCATGTCCTCTCTCAATCTTCTGTTTTCCAGACCAAACAAACCCAATCCTTTCTATCTTCCCTCATAAGTAATATTTTCTAGACTTTTAAAATTTTTTGTTGTTCTCTGCACTTTTTTCCAATTTGACCACATCTTTCCTGAAATTTGGCACCCAGAATTACTTCTTGTGTCTTGCTTACAACACTCCTGTTAATACATCTCAGAATGTTCGGGTTTTTTGTTTTGTTTTTTGGGGGAGGGGGTTGGCTTTTGGGGGGAGGGGTTAGCAACAGTGTTAGCCTGACGACTCATATTTAGCTTGTGGTCCAGAAACATCTAGGAGCTTGGGATGCAACTATAGCTAAAAAATTCTTCTAGTTGTTGTCATATTTCAATTTTAGAGCAATAACAACTGAGAAAGATATTGACGGTAACCTAGAGAAAGTTATAAAAATGTATACCAATCATTCTGCTATATTTGCAGTATTAGTATAAATACTTGTATGTACTGTAAAGCCTGTGTTATCCGGCATGCTCGAGGATTAGGGCATTCCAGTTATCTAAATATTCCTGTTATCTGAGGGTCCCATCACCTTAGGAAAAACCAATGGACAATACCAGTAAAACTCAAGTTTTTAATATCGGTAGTTTTGTAGTGTGAAGCAGTTGATGATTGGCTTAACAATATTTTATTTAAGAAGTACTAATCATGGTAAACCAAGCCAGGCCTGTTGGCCTGAAGATGTGATAGTATTGTGGCGGAGGCAATGCCGGTTAACAACGTTTTCTGGTTAACAGAGTGCCTGATAACAAAGGTTTCACTATATCTTAATATGATTATATTACTTAATTATTTAACAAATTTCAAATCACCTCATTAAGTTGATTTTTCTTCCTCTAGGACTACATTAACTCTTCGGGCCACAGCATCACACTGGGAGATGATGTTCAGCTGATTGTCCACTATGATCACCAAATCTTTTTCAGAGTCTGCTTCCCAGGATAGAATCTCCCATCTTAGAAGTATGGCTTATGTTCTTTGTTCCTGTGACAGGGCTGGCCAGCCCCGGACTGAACATGGGGGCGGAGAGCCCGCCTACAGGTGGGACCACCGTCAGACCAGGCAAAGCGATAGGAAGCAACCCAGGGCAAGGACCAGAAAAGGGCCCCCCGGGCTCAGCGAGTTTCGGGGAGGACGCCCTGCTGTGCCAGTGGTGGGAACCACCCGCCACCGATAGGGCCCTGGGTTGGGGCCCGGTGGAGAGGGAGGGCCCGGGCTACCCTACTCCTTCCTTCCAGATCCCAGATGATGAGGGGGATCCATTTAAAGGACTAGGCCGCTGGGCCTGCATTTAAAGGGACCGGACCTTGGGGAGAAGAGGGCGGGGCTTGCGACCCCGCCACAGTTCCTAAATGCACATGTTTACATTTAACTGTATCAAAATGCATATTGTTTTCTTGCACCCTATTTACCAACTAATCCAGATCATTCTGAATCAGTGATCTGTCCTCTTCGTTAACTACCATTCCCCCAATTTTGGAATTATCTGCAAACTTTATCAGCAATAATTTTATCTTTTCTTTAGGTCAATGATAAATGTAATCTCTGTGGGACCCCAATAGAAGCACAGCTGCTTCACGATGATTTCCTTTTCACAATTATATTTTGAGACCTTTCAGTTAGTTAGTTTTAAATCCAATGTGCAATGTTAATTTTATATTGTTCTTGATTTTTAATCAAAATGTTGTGTAGTACCAAGTCTAGTACCTCAGAGAAGTCTAAGTATATTACCTTTATCAACCAAATGTGTAAACTCATCAGAAAAGCCATCAATTTAGCATGACAGGACCTAATTAATATTGATTTACAATAGTGCCCTCCTTTCATCTTTTATTAATCAAGCCCTGTATCAACAAACTACATTATTTTGCTATGGATTGATGTCAGGCTGACAGACCTAAACTACCTTTTTAAAAAACTGGTACAACACAGGTTTTTTGCAGTCTTCTGAAACTTCCCCATTGTTCAGAGACTTACTGAAGTTCAACATTAATGGTCGAGTGAGCTCTTACACCAGCTCTTATAGAACACTTGGATGCAAATTATCAGAACCTATTGATTTTAAAATGTCTTGCTTTAAGAGTTTCTGTTTAATACCATCCAGAATTATGAGCAGAACTGGTACAACACAGGTTTTTTGCAGTCTTCTGAAACTTCCCCATTGTTCAGAGACTTACTGAAGTTCAACATTAATGGTCGAGTGAGCTCTTACACCAGCTCTTATAGAACACTTGGATGCAAATTATCAGAACCTATTGATTTTAAAATGTCTTGCTTTAAGAGTTTCTGTTTAATACCATCCAGAATTATGAGCAG